ACCTAAGAACTCCCATATAATAACAACATCATCAAAACGACCAAAATTAGAATTGTTACAGGTCCCAACATTCTACCCTAGTTATTTGGTAATTCATTGTCAGTGAAGATATTTAAAAATTTCTTTGAAATAGATCTAATCCAACAAAAATTGATGGCATACTGTTCCTACGCGTGTTTATTTTCAAATTAGTCCACAAAGAACTTGTTGGCTATATAACCGGAATATGATCAAAAGACAGAATATATGTTTAATGTGGTCGCAAAACTACGGACTTCACCCAACCATACGTTAGTGGTTATATATGGACGGTATTCAAATAGTATACAGAAGTAGCTAATTTCTGAAAAAATCGAATGGCGAACACCGTAAATTATTAGTACTTAAAACTTGTATCTATATGATTATTTTACAATTAATTTGTAATCATGAACATACATGGGTGCATGTATTATGTGTACATATATACAAATATTATAACATATACAGTGTTTATATTTTTTATGTTTGTTATTGAACAAACGCGTATAGTAATTATTGTTGAATATTGATTTAATATTGACATTAAAATTGAAAATTCAATATTAAATATTGAGGTAACTTGCATACAAATTTTTTTAATGCAAGTTTATTATAAAGAATTAGATATTTTTTTGTTGTTTTTAATGTACAACTTTTAAATCTTAAATATTCTCATGTGTATAAGTAAAGTTTCAATACTGAAAATATTTGTAATTATTAAAAAATTTTTAAAAGCATTAAAATTATTTAAAATTTTATAAATGCTGTAAAAAATATAGGAACTAGCTTTGATTATCAGTTATTAAATTGGCTCAAAAAAATTAAATAAAAGTTGCTTTCCAACAATTTCCGTCAACAATGCAACATGTTATCCTTCAATTAAGTTCCGAACGTATATTTGTACCTTTATACTTAATGTAATTAAGTGGATTCCGTAATTTATTATCGTAAATTTTAATTTAACCAATTTTTATCGAAAATATCTTTTGTACAGGGTACGTTTAAGGTCGTATACAAATCATAAAATTAAATGTTAACGAATTTAAAATTTGCCTTTCAAATTTTCTTGTGGACATTTTGTGAATTTTCTATTTCATTCCTTGGCAATGAATTAATTAAGATTTTCAAAATTAAAGGTTTTTTAATCATGATAAAAAAAAGAGAAACGACGTTCATAAAATATAAAATAAATGCACAATACTTAAATACACATGACAAAAAATTATGACACAACTAAATTCACATTATGAATTAATAATAATAATTAAGCACAGATACAAAAAGAAGCCTCATATATAAGGACACCACTTTCCAGGACGAATTGTCTCTGAGAACAGACTTGCCGATAGTCAAGTACTGTGAAAAGGAACATTCCAAAATCTCTGGTGATATGCCCTCTTTCTTAATCTTCACAAATCTTGCAACCCTAGAGAATACGGGTTCCAAGATTTGTGAAGCGATTACACTGGCATGCATCTACTCCTCATCTGACAGAGTAGCGTTTAATCAAAGTATTCAGTTACACCAAAAGTAACCTATCAACATAACTAGGTAAATTAACTGAATCATCACAAGACAAATGAGCCGAAGCCACACAAACAAAGCACTTCTGAGCTGACTCAATACGACACACATTAATCCCCCTAAAAGGAGATTACATTTGGTTAGTATATTCCAGAATAGCTTCAACGACAGTACTATATAAAGGTTTACACAAGTATGCATCACAAAACTCCCTCGCACATCGCTTTACTAAGCGCATAGTGGAATTGGTACGGTAAACAATATTATTGAAGTGGGGTTTGAAAATGAGCCCAATTTCAAACGTAACACCAAAATTTAAAGCTCTATCCGTCGTAGAGAAGTTATTCCCGTCAAGACGATAGTTAAAAATTCCAAAATTAATACTCCTCCTCCTACTAAAGGATACCATATAACATTTGCTGACATTAAACTCAATATCATTTCTTCCAAAACAAAAAACAAAAAAATCAAGGTCCAGCTAAAGAGTGGAATGTTGCTTGAAGGTGAAACAAAATGTATGTATTTGCAAATGTAATCGATTGCTCATTAATATTCGTAAAAGCGTAAATATAGGGTCTGCATTAACTGTTAAGATTTTTCTCCCTAAATTCTCTTTAAATAGATTTTTCTCTTTAAATTCCTAAAATTTTATAATTTCTATACTTTACTGAAAATTTATGTTGTAAGATATAAGAGATTTGTCTAAATTTTAAAAGATTAACAAAAAATCTTTGTTTGTTAAATTGAACTTCCTATATTTAATGAATGGATTTCTTTATTTTGGATAGGCACCTTCTCTAGATTAGATAATATAATTGAATTGAAATACAAACATATAGATTATAAAAATCCAAGCTCTTAAATATGATAAGACACCTGCTCTAAACACCTGTTAAACTATATACCATATGTTATAATTTATTTAATATCTTGTAAAATATAATAATGATAAGAAATCAATTAATTATAAAATGATGTTTAATGTTGTAAAATTTTAATCCATTTTACTACTGACTGTATATATAAGTTTACGATATACTTAATAAAACTAAAATTTGTTCTTGATTCAGAATGTTATATATGTATTAGATCATTAAATTTATTTTAAAGTAATTATACAAATATTACTACAGTTTATTGCTCATTGTTACTAATTGTGCCTAAATATGTTGTAAGGATTCTTATGAAGAAGGTAATAAATAACTTACACGGTTGACGTTAGAACTTTTTTGTACTTAATTAGACTTAATCCGATGAATCTAATTACTATTGTTTGGATTTATTTAAAAAAATCAATTCGTATAATTTCTTTAAAATTTGTTCTAACCAAAGTAATGTAATTAAATTGGGAGTGTAAAGTCTTTACAGAATTGTGTCAAATTGCTTCCGCATTTAATATGTTAACTCCTTACAAATTAAACTTTTAAATCATAATGTTCAGGTTCGATTTTATTTGTGCTAGCTAAAGGTCGAAAAAAATCAAATTTTCTTTAATATATTTATCATTATTAGAAATTATCTTTGTACTTCCAATCCAAATTTAATTATGACTTTAAATATTTTCGTGGACCGCGTAAATGATGTATACGCAAACTACGCTTTGAGACGAGAGGTTCTTTCAAAATCAACCTTATTTAGTCGTTTTATTAAATCTGAAAAATAACAATTTTTTAATTCAAGAAATTTTCTTTTAAATTAAAAGGCATCTTTTACGTAATATGATATGCAATTATATTGTATATATATTTAACAATTAATATGCAATAAAATTTAAAATTTAAATACATATTAAATTTCACATTTAAATATTGTCATCATGGACCTTTTTAATTATATAACCTTGTAATTTAGCTAAAATTTATATTATGCTTCAATAACTTTGTTATATTAAAATTAAGCAAAAGGAACAGGTTCGAAAGTATTTGTTTTTAAAATTTTTCATATAATAGTGGATATACATTGAAAAGTTAATGGAAAACTGGTTAATTAAGATTAACAGTAGTTAAAAAATATTAATTGCCAAGATTATTGTTAATTTTGCGAAGAAAGAAGTATTCAATATCATAAAAACAATAAGTATAACAAAATTATTTGTTACATTGTTATACTGATTGCAATAATATTGCAGTTTTTGATTATAATTTTATTTTTTTGTATATAAGTATAACATTATTAATAATGTATTATATTTTGAAATTTATTTTCTCTTTGTTAAAATATATAACAAGCTTACGCAATAATATCAAAACAAAACTCTTTTAGAGCTCATGGTTATCATAAAATTATATAAAAGAATTACGTATTTAGTTTGTAATAATGTTCTTTGTAACATAATATTATGATGACTAAGATTTATAGTATGACAGTTTTTTATAAAATGTATATAAGTATAATAAATTAAAACAAAGAGAATTCTGATATGCACGTTCATACATTCAAAATATTATTTAAAAAATTGTTTGGTTTCTAAGAGTAAGTCAATACTCTAATTTCTTTTAATGATATTACGGCTTATGCAACTGAATTCATATTAATCATGAATTTCAACTAAAATTAGAATGCAATGGATGAGTGTCGATTAAAATATTCATAATTATCTACTATAATACTAAAAATACCAGCGAAATAAATCAATAAAATATCAATAAAATTAAATATTAAATGTAAAGAAAAACCTACGGTAGACTCGTCTTGATTGTCTACTGTAGACTTGGTTGTCTACGATATCACGCACCACTAATCATTTGAAATAATGCGAAAATTGATCGGTAGGTGGCAAATCGACAATAAGTGCCGAAATCAATCAATTGACAATCATATTATGTTTAATAATATTGCTGAATAGAAAAATGAGTAAAAATTTAATTTTAACTGCAATTTTGGCCTACTCTAGCATGTTCTAATTTTTCCGACCTCATAGAAATCACCTGCTTGTTATCAATCGAAGAAGTTTTTGGTAAAATTACTTAATAAGTATTGGTTACGTGTCATCACGATTCTTTCCATTTTTATCAAGAAAAATATTATTGTAGAGACTTTTGCTTGACAAAATGACAGCGAATAATTTGAAAACTATTGAGATATTTGCTGTGCTATCTGACAATATTGACAATAAATTTTATTTAAGTTGCAAACCATAGTGTGGTGTGATATTTTCAAATAAAACTATGTTTGTTAAAAAAAAATCCTACAAGTAAATGACAATTCAGAAAACAGGAGCTTAAAAGAGTTTCGTAATTTAATTCACACAGAAAGTGAATTTAGAAACATTGACTTGAAATCATGTTGTAATTGTAGTTTTAGATCACTTCTGTACAAACACTTCCACATAACTATATTATTATCACTATTATTTGGCAAAAATATTTACATAAGCAACCATTGAGTATAAAATATTTGAATTTATATTGTTTTTTACTTGAATAATTTAACATATTTTCTTATTAATTTTACAGAAAATAAACCAATATTACGTGATATAAATGGCCATTTTAAATCTGGAGAGCTTTCAGCAATTATGGGACCATCTGGTGCCGGTAAAAGTTCGTTACTTAATATTATATCAGGTTTCGTGTAGGTTTAATTTTTATTCTCCATTATAAATTAAATAATCATAATATTATAAATTAAATTTCAGTGTGAAAAATGTAACTGGAGAAATTTTAGTAAATGATAAGGAACGTGATTTAAAATTTTTTCAGCCACAATCAGCTTATATTACACAAGATACAAATTTACATCCATGTTTAAGTGTTGCAGAAGCAATGAATTTCTCAGCTAATCTTAAAATTGGAAAAATTCTTTCAAAATCAGAAAAACGTGATCGAGTAAATGAAATTTATTTTTAATTAATTAAATATTCACAATTTATTGAATTAAAATTATGATTTATTAAGATTTAATAATTGTAGGTTAAAAATATTTTAGAAGCAATTGGAATGTATGAAGTTAGAAATGTACGAACAGCTAAATTATCTGGTGGTCAAAGAAAACGTTTATCTATTGCATTGGAATTGGTTAATGATCCTTTAGTATTAATCTTAGATGAACCAACAAGGTAATTAAATTTTTTATATACTATAGAAATTATTCATTAAATTATTTAAATCTTTTAGTGGATTAGATAGTTCAACTTCAACACAATGTGTTTCATTATTAAAAAAATTAGCTTTAGAAGGACGTACTGTTATATGTACAATTCATCAACCATCAGCATTAGTTTTTGGTATGTTTGATCATTTATATGCTTTAGCTGCTGGTCAATGTATATATGCTGGTTGTATAGAAAATTTAGTGCCATTTTTAGGTGATTTGAATTTAAAATGTCCAGAATCATATAGTCCTTCAGATTATCGTAAGTTATATAATAACATAAGAATTAGTAATTGTTAATTTTAAAACATTTCTTATTGTAGTTCTTGAAATTTCGACTAATGATTATGGATATCAAAACGAAAGATTAGTAGAAAAAATTCAAAATGGTTGTTCTGATGCTTTTAGGAGAAGAGCTCAAACAAAAAAGCAAATCGAAATAATGGGAAAAATAGGTAAAAAATCCAACATATAACAAGTCTTGTATTTTTGATAATTTTAATTATTTTGTCAATTGAAACTTAAGTAATATTAATTTATTTTTAGATCAAATGATGCAATCAGGTTTAATGACACCCGTTACTGCTCCAGTACTACCATTTAAAACAAATAAACCGAGTATGCCACCAATTAAAGAAATTTCCACAAGATGGAGTGGCTCAAATGAAGAAAATAATTCAACAAAAATACTTTCATCATTTCCAAAATCATCAAATTCAAAAAAATTAAAAAAGCCCAGTATTCAAATTGATCCGATTTTATTGTGCCAAAGACAAAATCGTTATGCTGCCTCATTTTGGAGTCAATTATATACATTGTTAATGAGAACATTTTTAATATTATGGCGAGATAAATCACTTACAGCAATGCGTTTATTAATTCATGCTGCAATGGGCCTATTTGTTGGAACACTTTATTATGGTATTGGAAATGATGCTAAAAATATATTTAATAATTTTCGATATATTTTCTTTACAATTATGTTTATTATGTATACTGCATTCAGTTCGATTATTATAAATTGTAAGTAATTTAATTTTATACTTTTTGATCATTATAATTTAATTGTTGTCTTATTTGCTTTCAGTTCCATTAGAATTTAGAATTGTGGCCAGAGAACATTTCAACAGATGGTATTCATTAAGAGCTTATTATGTATCACTTGTTTTAGGTGGTAAGTATTAATTAATTGCTGTATACTAGTACATATTAATTTTTTTAATTTTATTATTTTTCCTTTTACATTTAAGATATTCCAATTCAACTCCTGTGTACATCAATATTTGTTGGAATATCATATACAATGACTAATCAACCAATGGAATTCCAAAGAATATCATTATTTTTTTTAATGGTTGTTTTATCAGCATTAGTTGCACAAAGTGTTGGCCTTACAATTGGAGCTTTTTTAAATGTTAAGGTAAAAAAATGTTTTTCAATACTCGTTTATTTATTAAAAAAATTTTTTAAAATAATTTTAGCATGCTGTTATATTTGGACCATTTGTTATATGCCCATTTTTAATATTTTCGGGATTTTTTATTCAATTAAAAGATTGTCATGAAATGATGCATTGGCTATTTCATATATCATTTTTGAAATATTCTCTGGAAGGTGCAACTTTAGCAATATTTGGATATTCCCGTCCAAGAATGCAATGTGATGAAATATTTTGTATGTTTGTTAGACCAAAGAGATTTTTACAAGAAGTTGGTATTGAAGATGGAAGTTATGAAATTTCTTTAATTGTATTAAGTTTTTTATTTTTAAGTTTAAGAATATTAGCATTTTATATAATGTCATTTAGATTAAGATTATTTAGATGAAATTTATGTTTTTTTTTTTTGATTTTGTTTTTTGAAATTTGTATAGTTTGTACAATAAGTATTTGTTATGTCTGCAAATTGTTGATATATATTTAGAAAATTTGATTTATATGATAATTTCTAGACATACATTTCGAAGAACAATGAAAAATTTACACAAACAGAAGAGTTACTAATAGTAAATTTTTAGTACAAAAATTTTAAATTATATATGAGAGTAAAATTATAATAAACAATTAATTGAAAATTGCCATGTTCTTTGAAATAAAAAACACTGTAATAATAATAACTGAGATGTAAAAACATTTTAATAATGTTTTCAACTTTTATTACTATGATCTAAATATACTCCTAAAACAAATGATATTTTATATAAAAAAAAATTAAAGTTATCAAAACATTACATCATTATTCATCCAACATTTTCTAGTCTAAGTATATGTATGTATGTATTTTAAAATTTTTTTTTACTGTAACAATTAATATAAAATTTGTTTTTGTAATATTCTAGTACATATAAATATATTACAATTTTTTTTTCTATTATACTGTGTATATTTTAAGTTTCTTATAGTTTTTTATGAGTAAAAGTTAATTTTGAATTGCACTCGTTGTAACTGAGATAGTTCTTAGGAGAAAATTCAATTCCATTCAGATATCACCATTTTAAAAATGTAAACAATCTACTAGATGAAGCTCCACTGGGCGACACGTGAAGCTGGATAATTTTATAATTGAATCTGTTTAACTTACATTATTTATGAATGTATAAATAAAACCGATTGAACAATTGTTAACGAGCGTAGTTATATTGCAAGATATTGTATTGGAAATTTCAGTATATTTATTTATTTAATTCAAACTACTTTTAAATAATATGTTCAAAACTTAAAATTTTACAAAATGCATCAGTTTGGCAGCTGACAAACTGTCTGTCTGCTATTCAACTCAAATAGTCCAAGCAATACCTTTTTGTTACGAGTAAAGTTTACTTTTCAAGTAAATATTGTATATAAACTTAATAAAAAATTATTTTTAAAAATAAATGTGTGATTACATCGCCATCTATTCGAAAATAGAAATATTATAATTATGATTTGAAATGGTGTCATTGTGAATATTGTGACTTTAAAAAGCTATTTATTATGTATGTATAAACAGACTAATGAACCAGTTTCATTTAATTTCTAAAAGCTTAAACGTTAACCTATAAAAATGTACAGAAACTTTTAACCTTGCATCCATTAGTTAGAGTCCGTACATACTTATTTTCATTCAAATTTATTGTAAATTCAATTTGTATATAATGAAAATTTTTGAATTTGTTTTTAAAATAAAAATTTAATAAAATATTTAGAACCAATATAATGAGAATTAAATTAGCTAACCCTTGCTCTAATCTCACCCCATAACATAGCGAATTACATACCGTTATTGCGAAATACCAACTACTTTGCATACCGTGAATATAAATTCGAAAATTGAAAAATATTCAAAGTATGTATAATATTAAAATATACGTTAAACGTACAATTTTATTATATACACAAACCATATTTAAAACAACACAATTACCATACCTTTTATTTGTTATTTTGATCATACATGAATTTGTGTGTATTGGTTTATATTTATTACGGTATCATATAATATACTATCGCGAACTAATAAGCTTTACTTAATAAAACTGAAATCATTTAATAAAATAAATGATCTTATTAGAAGTTTTTGAAACTAAAAGATTGTATGGACAAAAGAAACGAAGAAAAACGAAAATAAAGAAAAAGAAAAAAAATTGTCCGAATGTGATAAGAAAGCTCTCCTTTTTGTTTTTTTAAATACATATAATAAGTATACTATGCGTACATGTGGGATTGTAAGTGTGGATGTAGATATACTAATTGTATACAGAATTTTATTTGAAATTTTTTCAAGATAATTTATAGCGAGACTAATATGTACACATTGTATACTTAAATTGATTTAACTAACTAAATACAATCTTTAATTTAGTTTTCGCTCAAATGCCAGACGCGTATAAAGTGATGACGGTAGAATTTTTCTATATAGCTTTCGATATTTTATAATCAAATAATAATTATTAATAACTTAAATATTAAATGAGAACAAAACTAAAATATTTAATAATATTATAGATCAAAATAAATATTATTCACTTATAATGAAATTATTGAATGAATACTCAATAATATTAAAGAAAAAATATAATTTGGTGATGAAGATTATGTGATTAAAATAAAAGATTTTTAATTAAAAAATAAATACATAATTGTATGTGCATATATATATATATATATATGTATATACATCATGGATGTGAATATAACAACATAATAAAAAATATAATAGATAATAATTGATGAAATTCCAATTTTAAAGAATATTAAAATATTAATTGGAATTTTTTTTTAATATTTTTTTAATAAAAATTTTATTATAAAGTATATACAGTATTACTCTATATACAGTACATACCTATATACATACATGTATACAAAAATTTTTCAAAACTTAAGTAATTCACCGGGGCTTTTTAATATTCAAATCAAGTGTTTTGTGGAATTTAAATCCATACAATATGTGTATAAATAATATTAAAAATTATAAATGAAAGAATATTTTAAATTTACATATACATAAAATGTGTGTATAAAAGTTTACGTATAATATAAATACATATATATTATATTTATCATACATTATATTCAATATTATATTTCAAATGGTTTGTAGTGGGTGACATAACAAGTTAATAATGTTATTATCAAAGTTTTTACACCTATTTAGTATTGTAATTATAATACAATATACTTTAAGTTTAAGGTCTAGTGTTATACAAATTGTATAACACTATACATGTATGTGATTATACAAGATAATTCAGTAAGGAGTACAATATTATACATCATTTTTTAGGGCATTAAAAATGAATAAAATTTTTGTTTAGAATTAGTTGTCAAATCTCAACGGTTTCCGAGATACAGGAATTTTAAAGAATTTGCACGAAATTTCAATTTACTCAAACTTTTTTACTTTCTCTTCCGAAAAAGATAGCAGCTGTTTCAAATGACCAGTTTCGGAAAGGGCTGGTAAGGGGCTTGATAGCAACATATTACTTCATTTTGAATTTTATATACTTTCGGAATGTCAAGCATTCGAACTTTAGATAAAATCAAAATTTTCTTTTTTTAGTTTTCGCCAACTCACTAATTTCGTATGGAATTTTTGAATAACGAGATTTGAAAATTATTGTTTGCGGATTCGACATAATAATTTCTTACAAAAAAATAGAATTTTTACGACGAACGGACGGACAGAAATAAATTAATAAGCAAATTTTTTTTTTTTCGAATTTATTGAAAATGTACTAACAGTTACTGAAAACATACATATTTATAATAAATTTTCTTCTTTTTTGTAAAAATATTTAGTTAAGTAAATTTTAGTAATTAAATAAAACATTAATTTTAGACTGAATTGTTTACTTACTTTTTTTTTGTTTAGCAAATAATATGGCAATACTTGAAGTTAAATATTTGCAAAATTTATTATTATGAGATATACACATTTTTCTTTATTATTTATTACCGTTTCGGCCTCTTCTCTAAAAGTAATAAATAATAAAATTGTATGGTTATATAGAATAGAAAACTAATGTATTATTTTGTATTTACTGAATTTTAATTTAGTATTCTAGTAATATTGCTTAATGTTATCCATTTATTTTAAGTAATTGCCTAGACAGAGTAGTTTAATGTTTGTTAATGCACTTGTAAATTTAGCTATTATAATTATATCAACATACATGATATATATACATATATATATATGTATATTCTAGGTTATGGCATTTATAACAAAATTTACTTTTAGTACAGTAATTATTTTTTAATTAATCTCAAATTAAATAATTATAGTTAATATTGTTATATTCTGTTATCAACTATTTTATTGAAATTATGATAAATTTAGTATGATTTTATTCGTTATATTAACCTTTATCAATTTTCGCCAAAGATTATTTTCTTTATAAAATGGCAAATAGTTAAATATCATAAAATAATCATAAAATCTATTTTAGTTTTTATCGTTTTTTATTATAGATTGAAATTTGCATTGTTTAAAAATAATATTAATGATTTCCACTAGATTTTGGAATTTTTTACGAGAGCCAGATTGTTTTGTTAAAAAATGAATAGTGGGGATTGCTAGGATTTCGAGTACCGTTTAGAATATTTCGCTACTAAGAAAACAATGATTAATAAATAAATTAGTCGGATATTTACTAGAGTGAATGTGGTTGACTTAACGTTAATAAGGTTTAAGATTGTTTTAAGCAGATGACAAAAGATTTGGGAGAAAGAATAAAGTCATGCTGCAATAACTATCTTGTCAAAAAATTGAAAATTTTTTAAAATTTTGCACGACCCCCTACCTTGGCAAAAAATTGAAAATTTTTTAAAATTTTGCGCGACCCCCTACCTTGTCAAAAAATTGAAAATTTTTTAAAATTTTGCACGACCCCCTACCTTGCCAAAAATTAAAAATTTTTTAAAATTTTGCACGACCCCCTACCTTGGCAAAAAATTGAAAATTTTTTAAAATTTTGCACGACCCCCTACCTTGGCAAAAAATTGAAAATTTTTTAAAATTTTGTACGACCCCCTACCTTGGCAAAAAATTGAAAATTTTTTAAAATTGTGCACGACCCCCTACCTTGGCCAAAAATTGAAAATTTTTTAAAATTTTGTACGACCCCCTACCTTGGCAAAAAATTGAAAATTTTTTAAAATTTTGCACGACCCCCTACCTTTGCAAAAAATTGAAAATTTTTTAAAATTTTGCACGACCCCCTACCTTGGCCAAATATTGCCCTACCTTGTTAAAAAATTGAAAATTTTTTAAAATTTTGCACAACCCCCTACCTTGTCAAAAAATTGAAAATTTTTTAAAATTTTGCACGACCCCCTACCTTGGCAAAAAATTGAAAATTTTTTAAAATTTTGCACGACCCCCTACCTTGGCAAAAAATTGAAAATTTTTTAAAATTGTGCACGACCCCCTACCTTGGCCAAAAATTGAAAATTTTTTAAAATTTTGTACGACCCCCTACCTTGGCAAAAAATTGAAAATTTTTTAAAATTTTGCACGACCCCCTACCTTTGCAAAAAATTGAAAATTTTTTAAAATTTTGCACGACCCCCTACCTTGTCAAA